TAGGCTTATCTATGGCCTTTAAAAAGTTGACAACTCTACATGTTTCGACGTTACAACGTCATTTTGAAGGCCATAGATAGGCCTAAATAAAATGTTTTTAATTGTGTACCAGTTTAACGTTGAATATTATTTATGATTTTAACTTTATACACAAGTGCCAAAATATTATAATTAGAGTTTTATATGTTTTATTTAGAAAAAAAAGATTCGTTTATCAACAAAAGAGACTTTGCATTTTGTGTATATATTTAAAGATGTGATGATTTATTATCTTATTTTAAAAATATCACTTCAATCTTGCCATTTGGCTTTAGATGTGTAGCCATGGTTTACAACTGAAAATATTCGAAATTTTTCTGAATAACATTTCTTATGGTTTGTTTTTCAGATGATTACTTACCTATGATAAACTGTTATAAAACAAAATATATCTGGGTATTTTATTCGTCCGAGTATATATATATATATAAGAAAGTATATATTGTCTTCAACAGTTGTTTTCGTTTTGTTTTATAGCCCTTAAAATCACTTTCATTTGAAATTGACTACACTAAGCAATTAAACCGCGTAAAAATAACACGATTGTTAAAAACTACAAAAACCAATTTGTCACAGTGGAAACGGGGGGAAAAAAAAATTCATAAGATTGTAAACATCACATCAATTCAGTTTCCTGAAATTTCTCATAAACAAAAAGTCTCATCCTCCTAAATATAATTGCTTAACTTAATTTTTTTACCTCCGAATTATGTACTCATTTTTTCACTTATTATGTTTATTACCAGCTGAAACCTTAATGAGATTAAAGGGTTGTTCTTTTAAATCTAAGCTATTATTTGACAAAAGTCTCTGTGTGTTGATCCGCTTATAACTGGCGAACCGCTGGACCGATTGTCGTCAAACCTGGCACGTACACTTAAGCCCCTCTGGTAACGCCACCTCCAGGATTCCCCACGCGTTGAACATATACGTCAGCTAGTCCTGCATTATTTAGCTTTTCACTTTTAATACAAACTACACTACATTTGATGAAGAGGAACCCATTTTTTAGAAAATAAAAGTTTAAAGACGGCTTGAATTGGTCACGAAGAAAACTTTATTATAAATGTACAACGTTCTACGTTTATAATAATGTTTTCTTCATTTCCCATTCAAGTCAAACTTTTAGCTCATAGCTTCATCTCTTGACCGATTTGAGATCTAGTTATAGTCGCGGCTATTGAGGATTCCCTCTTGTTTTGCCGCGTTACCTATTATGAATTATTGAAACGAAGTTTTAACGCGTACAAACGTAAAGGCTTATCGCTAGATATTTCATTTGTGTGAATACTTTTTGAGAACCCCTAAATACCACGTTGTAGTAAATGTGTCAAAAATCCGATTTTTCTAGGTTCCACAGGTCAACACACAACAACAACAACACCAGTCTCGGCATTTACAGGTCATTATTATGCTGTTGTTGGCGGTTAATTTTAAAATGTGGAACACGATGAAGTAATGTTGTTTTTTTAATTTTCATCCTTATTTTATGTTTTATGTTCTAAGTATTGATTTTGTGCAATATCGAATTTTGGTTCGTTGATTTGCTTTGTTCTGAGCGTTGTATTTGTTTTGTATGTTATTTTTGTAACGCCATCTACATAAAGTATTTAGAACAAAAAAAATGATGAAATATTTTATTTTAGTGGTTATTTTCTATTGTGTCCAAAAATTACCTGTACAAATATTTTTCACGTCAAGTCTCTCACGAGAATATCAAAATAAGCCTAACAAGAAAACAAAGAAGAGAGGTTTACTCAGGTAACTAAAATTAGCTTTTTTTTTTTCAATCTCGGTATGAACCATTTTATCTTAAGGGGCCTGATATACGTCATTCAGATCAGAAATGGCTGCACTGAAGTTAAGATACTATATATGCTTCCCCGAAAGTGTTCTGCTTCAAGAGTAAATAAAACCAAAATTAGGCGTAACAAATATTTTTATTTCTTGCTTTCGAAGTTCGTATGCCATACTGTGTTGTAGCCTACAGAGTGCATTATTGTCCTCGTGATTCAAGGCATGAACACGTTTAACTGACGTCATGACAGTACATATTGCATTGTTAAGCGTTTCTTATTTGACGTCATTTTAGTGTCTACTGACTGACAGACAACACTACTGCATAGTGGTGCGAGTGGTTAAAACAGGTGACACCTCCAGGCGGCCCTCTTTTGGGGAAATAATCTAATCAAATAAATTCGAAAATTCAACTCTTGATATTGAACGAAAATGTTTGTACGGATATCCAGTGTTTAGAAGACTTTTTACGGATATCCAGTGTTTAGAAGATTTTTTACGGATATCCAGTGTTTAGAAGATTTTTTACGGATATCCAGTGTTTAGAAGACTTTTTACGGATATCCAGTGTTTAGATGACAAAATCAATGTTATCTTCATACATTTATTCATGTCACTTTTTTTTGACAGATATATAACCAATAATTTTATGTCTGGATGTTTGTCAGTGGTTCCTCGTTTCTTTGAACTTACAACGCAAGAAACCAGGTTTCGATACACGTAGTGGGCAGAGCACAGATAGCCCCTAGTGTAACTTTGTGCTTAATCCCAAACAAACAAACAAATCATCGTTTCGTAAACAGTTTAAAACTGTATCTACACTTTTTTAGTTCTTTTCGAAAGTAATTAACGTAAAATAATTATGGAAACAATTGTGAATAGATTTTTTTTTTAACTGAGTACGTTATACGCAGAAAATGACAAATTTGGGGTTATGACCCCTAAATTGTTTTCCAACATGAACAAAGATGTTTCATAAAAGTATTACTACAGCTCAAGATTTTTTTTTCTTTTGAGAGGAGTGTAAAATGTATCGTTACAAGGAGTTGGCGAATCCCATCTGATTCCTGGATTACTATTGTTCTGATTCCTGGATTACCATTATTCTGATTCCTGGATTACCATTATTCTGATTCCTGGATTACCATTATTCTGATTCCTGAGTTACCATTGTTCTGATTCCTGGATTACCATTGTTCTGAATCTGTAAAAAACTAATACTCTGTGTATTATGATACACCACTCTGTGAGCACTGAAGTCTGTTTCTCACAAACATTGTTCTTCCAATACAGTATTTATTATGTACACTTGAAAATAATTACCGAAACACAGAATGTTGTACTACTTACCAATACATTCGAGTATTGTTCGAAAAAAGTATGAATTAAATACATGTGTTTACACTTCTGTTAGCAACAAACACCTTTTACAGTTTAAAACACACTTTCAAGTTCTGTTAGCTGGAAACACACTTTACAAGTATAATAGCATGAAATACTTTAAAGTTCTATTAGCTGGAAATACACTTTAAAAGTATAATAGCAGGAACACACTTCACAGTTCTATTAGCTGGAAATACACTTTACAAGTATAATAGCATGAAATACGCTTTAAAGTTCTATTAGCTGGAAATACACTTTAAAAGTATAATAGCATGAAATACGCTTTAAAGTTCTATTAGCTGGAATACACTTTAAAAGTATAATAGCATGAAATACGCTTTAAAGTTCTATTAGCTGGAATACACTTTAAA